GGGAATTCCTTGAGGAGAGGGATGATATCATTGATATCCAAGGCCCCAGATTAATCCCAGTGGCTGGCACAAAGTGACCACCCCCATGTAAGTGTGGGTGGGGTAATATAGAGTGTTTTCCCAGTTGTATGAAATTTCGCCTTTCAACAGGTGGCATTCCATGGAAAAAGGTTCACTGAGATGAGCCACCATTAATAAGGCACCCGTGTCAGATGTAACCAAAGATTTAAACCAAAACAGATGTGGGAGTAGTGTAGGTTTGATTTAAGAATATTTTGATGTTTGAGGTTTGTTTTAGTTGCATAGATTGAGAAAATATATAGGTTTGGTTCTGGTTAACAACTCAACAATTGTTATGTGCTAAACACTTGGTGAGGGGAGTAGAGCAGAATGGATAATCAGTGGTCCTTGTCCTGCAGGAATTCACAATCTCACAATCCAGTGGGGGAGACACACACAAATAAACCAAAAGATTTGCAACATGCTCAGGAGCACAGAGGCGGGGAGAAATAAGTTTTGATTGGAAGGACCTAGGAATTCCTTAAGGAGAGCAGGATTTAGGCAGAGATTTGAAAAATGGTTGAGACTTTGGTTGGTGAAACTATGGAAACTAAGAACACAGCCAAGGAGAGGCGCCACGGTGGGAGAACGCCAGGTGTACTCAGTGAGGGCAGAGGCTGTGATGGGAAATAACCGTAGATAGGCAAAGGCCTTCCAGAAGCTGGGGGTTGGGGATTTATTATATCAATAATAGGAAGCTCCTAGAGATTTTAGAGATAGTTCTGGTTCATATTTATTTGCTCAACTTGAGATAGTTTTGATTTGGTAAGAAGTTGAAAGAAAAAAAATGGTACTCAGCTCAGTTACATTCATTATTCAGCTGTTGATGAAACATTTGGGTTTAAGTCTGAGAATACTTACCGGGAGAGAAAGAAATGTGTTGAAAAAATCAGCAAAGATTTCATCCTCTAGCAGAATTATAAGATTCGTAGAACCAATTATCTCTGTATGGGGAGGAAAAAACCCTCATGAACCAGGATTGCATTCAGGATGAGAAAAAAAAGCAATTGAGTGAATCGTTTCACATGGCCAAATCTCAAATGATGACAGCCTTTAAGGTTGTTTAATTCAATTTCTCCCCTTCTCCAGGACTCTCCTCTGCAGGATCTCTCCGCTTAAACACTCCTAGCTATGGGGAGCTCACTAACTAACAGGGCTGCCATGAAATGGTTAGAAAGACTTTTCCTACTGTGGACTGTCTTCTTTTATTTCCTCCCAATTGTAGAAATTTCTGCCCTCTGAAAGCTGATGGAATTCACCTAAGTCCTCTTAACTGGGACAATGCTCCCAATTTTTATGAAGACATCACAACCTTCTGCTTACCTCCAACCCCTCTGACTAGTCAGTAAGCAATTTTTCAAACAATCTTTGCACGGCCTCCTTTCCTTCTGGTCCTTTCCCATTGGTGGACTGGTACCCACAACTCAAACACTCCACATGCTTCCTAGGGAAGGGCATGTGACAACTATTGTCCATATCCTATGTTATATTAGTGTGGCTGGAAATGGGGTTAGCTTCGGGGGCTTTCATGGGACACTTTTAACTCCACCATCCTTTATTTATGCTGCCACTTTTCAGAAACCAAGGGCAGGAATTTACATTTACCCCAGTCAAATTTCACCCTATTGGTTTGCGCCCAACAGTTTTAAAATTATTGATTTGGTCATGCAACGTACTTATTATCCCTCTCAGGCTTGAACATTGTGCTGCCCAAGTTAATCTGAGGAGATAAATGTTGAATGTCACAAAGCCAAACATGGAGACCACAGGTGGACTAGGTGGCCCCTCTAAGTTTACTCTAATTCACTGTCGATGCTCTTTAGAGGACAATGTTCAACCAGTTAATAATAAGCTAATTGTTTTATCAATGGCCCAACATTTTTCCATCCTACCCAAAGCTTACAATGAAAGACGTAAAATGAGCAACCTAAATATCATACACGAGTCCATTCTCTCAGTCTAATTAAAGGTCTGGTGAGAATAGTACATGCTACTCGCAATCGCTAGAGTGCAGTTATGATCATAGGAGAAAACTAAACAACGCCCTCCATCACTTTTTCTGATGATACTTGGTGGTTATTGTTTTCGTGTAACAGAAATAGAAATAGAATCCCAGATAATCAAACACTATCGTAACAGAGCTGACGTCATTCTTGCCCTCTCTTCTACAGATATCTTTGTTTTTGCTATCTAGTGTTGTAAATTTTTATGTTTTCTTTCTGTCTCCCTCCTCAGCCCTCTGCTCTTCTTTTTATGAGCATTCCCTGATTTATTTAATCCATTCCACATGGATGATTCCAAAGTCTATGTTTTCAGTCCAGACTTCTTTCCTTGGCTCCAGTTCTAAATGTGCATTGAGTTTTGGGACATCTCTATGTGGACATCCACCAGCATTTTCATCTCAACATTTTCAAAGCTGAGCTGATTCTTTTGCTTCCCAACCTGCTACTTTCCCTGTATTCCCAGGTCAGTTACTGGGAACGCCACTTAGCCAATTGTCTAAAGCAGAAACTTGAAAATCATCTTTGATTCCCCTCTCGCTCTCTGTTTCTCTGTCTCTCTCTCGCTACTTCCAGTGGAGGACCATGCTATGTCTTTTCCTTTTCTACATATCTGTGGAATCTGTCCTCTCCTCTCCATCCATAAAGTCACTCTTTTCTTTCAGGCCCCTATCATCTCTCCCTAGACTACTGCATCGATTTCTTAAAATGGTCTAGCTCCAGTCTCTTTCCATTCCAAACACTCTCAACACACAGCCACCATAATCTGCTGATGCCATTATTGTTAAAACCCTTCAAAGACTCCTCAGTGTCCTACCAGGTAAAGTCCAAACTCAGTATCTGAGGCTTCCCTCGATCTGGCTTTTGGGTTCCCTCCCAGCCTTATCTCCTGCCACTCTCCATCAGGCTGCCTCCTGTTTGCCAGCCAAGACATTGCTCTTTCCTGCACATGCTATGCACTCTCACTCCCAACCTCCATGTCTGTGTTCCCATATTCCCATCACCTGAAATGTCCTCTCAATCCCAGTCTGCTTCACAAATTACTAGTCATCCATCAAAAACTGATTTACATATCATCTTCTTGGTGAACCAAGAATGGTAGAATCTACTACAGTGGTAAAATTGATCACTAGCCCCTGCACGTCGTGTATATCTTCCGTCATTACGATTAACAAGTCACTGTTTTCATCCCTTGATCGCTCTGTCTTCCTCACCAGACTGAGCTCTATGTCTTTTCACCTTTCTTCCTCTAGGCACTAAAAGTGTTTGCACCGTGTTTAAGTTCTAAAAACGTTGAATGGGTTGTTCTTTCGAGAGAAGATCTTCCATCTTTTGGGCTTTTGTTTGTTTCCTTGCTTGTCATTCACAGAGCCTGGCATGGATTTGTTGAATAAGATTATTGAGATGATCCGACTGTAGGAAAGTGGACTTTGGCAGAAGTTTCCCACTCGGTTGTTTTCCATGGATACACACACTGCTGGTGACAGGGTGCTTGACTATGACAGGGCTTGGCATTAACAACACAGTCTTTATGGGGTATAGGAACAAGGCTCCCCACATCCTCCCCTTCCCATCCTATTTCTTCATTCTTGTTTTTCCATTCTCACCTGTTCTGCCTTCAAACTTCGTAATAATCTGGGAAGGCTTTCAACACTAATTCAACACAATAATAAAATTGACTTTGGAACAAAAGAAATCATTGGATAATCCCAAACTTCATGCTAGTCTTCTCCCTGGAGGAGGTATGGCACGTGACGGCCCCATCTACATTTTACTTCCTTCCTCTTAGTTCCCTTAGTTGTCTTATGAGTGGGGCCCTGTCATTTCCTGAAAGATCTGTGGCATAAGGTGGAGGGTGGGGGAGAAAAAGAAGTGACAAGGAAATCAAAGGGCATGAACAACATAAAAGCTGAGTGTGTTGTCCCCGAATGACTCAGATCTGCCATGGATTGGGAAGGTGAGTGGTCTGCCTTATTTGAGAGGCTCAGAGCCTCAGACGCACCCCTCTCAGAGACTCACCAGCGTTGCTCATGTTGCCATGCTCTTCTTGCCACCGTGATTGATTAGGAGAATCAGCTCGCAGTCAACAGAACTCTGCCCCCTGTGAACACACAGTGATACCTCCTCTAAGAGGTTCCAGATTCCATCGGGAAGCGGCCTAAATCTGTAGTGTAGACCTCAACCTGAGGATAAGTCTTTATCATCTGATCTCCTGGATCCCCTTGAATTACCAGACTCTTCCAATACTTAAGGCCTTTAGGCTATACTGTTTTCTGTGCACTGACAGATTCTTTATAATCGACCAATTAAAGATCCTGAGTTTAAGTTCTGTCTCTTTAACTTGACTTTATGCTTCAGGGGAGCAGGGATCGGGGATCATTTATTTCTAATGCATCTTTTGGATCTAATATTCTTCCAGAAATTTAATAGGCACTCAATGAATGTTTAATGACTTGACTTGTCCCTCTGATAAGGTGGAAAATTCAACCTAACATCCATGTTTTGTTTTCTACCCCTTCTCCTCCTTCTCAGATAATTTCCTCTGGTTGGCTGTGGGTTACTTCATTATCCATTGGGTTTGAAAAGGAATAGAATAAATATTAGCTGAATGCCTTCCACGAAGAAGAAGCTAGACTAAGTATTTATACTTTATTCTCATTCAGTTCTCAGCCTTGCAAAACAGAGATTATTATCACCCCCTTTTCATTGAAAGATAGTAAGTACAACACTGAGATTTAACTCTGCCTATTTCATTCAAGAGCCAATGTTATCTTAAATATGCCAGTAAATCAAACCTCCTTTTTACATGAAAAATGCATTTTAATGGACTTAAAAGTAAGCCTCTTGGAATTCCTCACAATGATCTATTTTTCTGTATAATTCCTCCCACCACTTCTCGTGTGTATTATTCTGTGTTTAATTACACTTTCTTTCCCACAGATGTTATAAAAGAAGAAGTAAACAATATCTATATGGAAAGAAGCTACTTGAAAAAAGGTATCCCATATATCGAAGAATTTTACCAGAAGATTGAAACAAAGCCATTTAATATTTTCATCAAATTGTGGTGTACATAAGAATTGGAGATTTTCTCTAACCAATTTTGAACAAAAATTCTCTAATCCTGATCACTTCCCATTCATCTAGACCCATCACTCCGGAAAAGATAGAAGCAAGCAAGAGACAATATGGGAAATAAGTTATAATTGTCTTTCATTTTAATTTTTCTCAAGATGGTATAATGTTTTTCTCAGCTGTAAACTGGGCCAGGTCCACTTATGGACAATCAAGCCCAGCTCAAAGAAAAGAGCAGAAAACTTTTAATCCACATGGAGGCAATCCTAGAAATGAAGAACAATCATAAGTGACAATGAAGGAAACAGAAGAACTTTCTAGAATATTTCCAACTTACCAAGGTCTAAGATGTTTGTTCCAAGTTGGAAGTTTGGGACTCAGCGTCAGTTTACTCACAGGGAACAAGCAGTGGTAAGACAAACATTCAGAATACTTTAATATGGAAATTAACTTTTGTTACTCATTTTTTATTGCCTTAAATGGGTTTGAAGACTAGGCTCTTGCTCACTTCAAGGATAGGTAAATGATTTTTGGTTAGTCCAGTCTTTGGGTTTGATTAAAATCATTGTGTGAGTCTTGGAGGGAGTGTCTGCCACTTTGGATGCCAGAGGGGGCCAGACAGTCGCTCTCCCTGCCCTGGCAGCGAGGACATGGACACCTGTCCTAGACTCAGAATCAGACCTGCCGCTCAGAACTTTTCACCTTGAAGAGGTGGCTCAAAATTCAGGGGCAATGAGAGATTAGGCATGGTGGTGCCTATGACCACAAATGCTCAGTGGTGGTGGCACCAACAATAGTGTCACAGTGGGGAGAACCACAAATGCTGAAAGAAGATGCCAGAGTTGAAAATGAGCTTTGATGTCAAGGGGAGGTGGTGCTGACCACCGAAGACAAAGCGTCTGTGGATATCATAATAGCAGCTATGCCAGTGTTGCTATCAGAATGATCCAACCCACAAATTCTTTGTAGTGGCACATAGTTGGTGTTACTCAGAGAGTCCCTTGAAAAAAATGTGTGGGCAGCCACTAAGATTCTACTTGAGAATATGAGCTCCACGATGGCCGAGATTTTGACTGTCTTATGCAATGACGCATCCCAAATATCTAGAGCAGTTTCTGTCACATGAAGTGCTCAGTAAATATTTGTTGAGTCAATGAATTAATATAAATAGGAGCCTAAAATGAGCCAACCTGGCAGAATATCAGGTCCCTCATCCAATTTTCAGTCCTGAGCCAGAACTAGCAGCTCTTAAATAAAAAGAAAGCATTTTGCCCTTTAGAACCTTGCAATATTTTTGCAAGAACTTACTGTGAATCTGTTTTCCTAATCCTTTGCCAAAGCTGCCATTTCCAGGGTAACTGTGCACGGGGGTAAAGGAGACGCCCAGAGCTTTGCACGCTGGATCTGACCCAACACACAGCTGGTTAAGTATCAGAGTTGACATGTGAACTCAAGTCTATCTAACTACAAAAACCAGTATTTCCTCTATGTGCCTGATGATGATAATCATCTGGGGCGCTTGTAAGATATACGGATTCCTGAGCCCCCCCACAGTCCTTCTAAGTCAGAATTGTCAGAAGAAGGATCCGGTAACATGCGTTTAACAAGTACCACTGGTGATTCTTATTATCACCGGAGTTTGTAAGACACCTGCTTCCCTTTCCTTGGAAACTAAAAGGTCTGGAAAGGGTCAGGGATCCAACCATCATGCAATTCAAGCCTCTAGCCAGGGGTACTTGCTTTTAGTTCTTGTCATCAATGGAGTGACAACACTCCATTTGGTTGTTGTTGGCTCCCATAGTCAGGCTCTCCAGCTGTAGGGGAGATGGCGGGGCAGTGATTAGGAGCAGCGAGGGGCTTCACACAGATCCTCACACAGATAGGTCTGAAGGCACACTATCGTGAGGAATGTGGCTCTACGTCAGTGCTCTCTATGCCGTTCTTTTAGGAAGAGACCTGGAAGAATTTCTTTTGCCCAGGTTGTGATCGTTCTTTCCAAAGAAGGTGATAATCCAAGGAATAAAATGAGATTATTAAACTCTCCAGAGCTTTACCCTGAACTCTCTTAAGAGGTGTGTGTGTGTGTGTGTGTTACACTGACTAATGAATGAGGGAACTGATAATTGATTGAAGAAATATGTTAGGCTACAAATTCATCTTGGCACACACAAAACATCAAGAAGTAAAGAATCTCTTCTCATCAAAATCACTTTAAAAAACAGCATTTGGTCTTTACACATACTAAAGAAAGTATAACACTTTTTCAAATGTAAGTGATATTTTATTGGCAATTCACTACTAACCACATTCCTTCCAGCTTCTAACGTTCTTTCATGGGACAAGGTTTTTTTGGTATAAGAAAGCTTTCCAACAATCCTAGGGCTTTTAAACCCTTTTAACCCTCTCTTAGGTGTGACAAGGAACAACTCTCTTCTCAGTAATTTTTGGCTAAAGTATTAAGGTTTTTTCTCGTTTTTTTTTTTTTTTTGAGGAAGATAGCCCTGCTAACTGCTGCCAATCCTCTTCTTTTTCGTCGAGGAAGACTGGCCCTGAGCTAACATCCATGACCATCTTCCTCTACTTTATATGTGGGACTCCTGCCACAGCATGGCTTGCCAAGAGGTGCCATGTCTGCACCCGGGATATGAACCAGCGAAACCCGGGCCCCTGAAGCAGAACGTGCGCACTTAACCGCTGCACCACTGGCTGGCCCTAAAGTCTTAAGGTTTAAGGGCTGATGGTCTTGCTCTTAATAGTTGCTTCCTATGAGAAGAGGACAATAGAAATGGAAGCATTGTTTAATGAGAAAACCAAGGGCCTGACAGCCCTTCAGAGAAAGGAAATTCAAGCCTCTTAGAAGTTGATGTTTTAAGTGGACAGGACATCTGGGAGTTATCGCTTGTTAAATTAACAACAAATGTAATAGTTTATAAAACCCTTGGGAGTTAGCAATGAGTTTAGCAACGCGAAAGTCACCCAGGGTTGGAGAGGATGGAGCAGTACGGAGAGGGACTCAGAGGTTATTAAACAAATAGAAGGTTGGATGGCAAAAAACTAAAGTCGCTGCTACTTCCCCGATCTGTTCCCTCAAACTGGTGTCCTATTTTAACAGTAGAAACATGAACCACAATAATTAGTAGCTGAATGAGCTCAGCTGAAAGGAAACGGCAGGAAGGCGGTGGGAGTGCATGTCTAACTCATCTTTGTGCCTCTAGTGCCTGGCACAAAGTCGGTATGCAAGAATGCTTGTTAATTCAGCCGAGAAAGGAGGTGAAGGCGATAGGGAAAGCTTTAAGTCCTGCACAAATATACAGGTCTAAAAATTGTCTGATGGAGGGCTTGGGACATTGAAAGAGGGTGAGGGACACAGAGCAAATAACAGAATGACTGTCCCAGCGTTAACTTACAAAAGCTCTAAATATAACATTGACAGTCCACAGACTCCTCCGGGGCAGAACTGTGTCTCCTGATTCAGAACTTCATGTTTGCTCTCACCTGTGGTGAGTTACGTAAGGAAAGACACGGCAGATAGAATTTCTACCTTGCTGCTAATTGCTGTCACCTTTGCCAATATAATAGATTTCAATACAAAGACTTCAGAATACAGGGCCGGCCCAGTAGCATAGTGGTTAGTTCCCGTGCTCCATTTCAGCAGCCTGGGGTTTGCAGGTTCAGATACCGGGCACAGACCTACATATGGCTCATCAAGCCATGTTGCAGCGGCATCCCACATACAAAAGATAGAGGAAGAGTAGCAATAGATGTTAGCTCAGGGCCAATCTTCCTCACCAAAATAAAAAACAAAAACAAAAAACAAAGACTTCATAATGGTGGTCAATGCAATACATACTATTTCTAAAAGTCAAGGAAGGTACAATTTCAGCCTGAATAAAGAGTTCAAAATGCTTTTGGTACATATTACATCTTGGTGCAATTATACTACCATAGTAGTACAGAAAGAGAAGGAAAACCAGAAAGTCTTCCACTAAAATAGCTTATCCAATTAACGGTTCATTTCAGGGAAAGATACTGAGTTAAAAGTAGTAGAATCTTTTGTGATTGGCAATTGATTAAGTCTTGGCCAAAGATTAAAAAAAAATTAAACTGGGGCTGGCCTGGGCTTCTTGAGTTCAGATCCCTGGCACAGACCTATTCCACTCATCAAGGCACACTGTGGCAGCATCCCACATACAAACTAGAGGAGGACTGGCACAGATGTTAGCTCAGGGCCAATCTTCCTCAAGCAAAAAAAAAAAAAAAAAGAGGATGATTGGCAATGGATGTTAGTGCAGCATGAATCTTCCACACCAAAAAAACCCTCAAAAAAACAAAAACAAAAACAAAAACTCATCATGGATATGACGATACAAAGGAGTCGACTCAATAGCTGTAGGTTTCATCTTGGGAGGTTCCTGTTGGCCAGATACTCTTTGACCAAAAATATGTGTTAGAATTCTGAGTTTTGGACAGAGAAGCCTCAAGTGATTCAAGATGCTAATTTTCTTTGGGTTGAGTGGGTATATTTAAACCCTTTAATGTAGAAAAAATGTTTCCTTTGGTTTAAGTTTTATTCCTGGAAGTGTACTTTTAAAACTGGGATGCTATTTTGTGTATGCTGTTTTTTATAAAATAGCATGCTTAAAATTTGTTTTACTTTTATTTGAAAATTTCACTTACTAAATTTATAAGAACCTCTTAAGTTCTTTGGAGGATTTTCTTTGTTAGATTTATAAATCTGCCTTGTTAGCTATTTCAAAGAATCAGATCTTTTAAATTCATGAATTGAAACATCTAAGAAACTATTATTAATTAAATATGGAAGTGGTATCTGTTTAGGAGAATTTGATTTACAACATGTAAGGTTTTATTGAAAAATGAAGAAGTAAAAACAATTTTTAAATAAAATTACTAAATTTATAAATAATTCTATATGTCAAGTGTAAAAGCTTAACAATTAGTTTATTAAATATGTACCATAATAAATTGAATATTTGTTACCATACAGGCAATTGCAAGCCTTGCTTTTGCTGGCACAACATTCCCCCTCAATTAGTAAGAGCCCATTAATAATTTTCTGCTTTCAAATTGAAAAGCAAATTATCAATCTTTCCATAAAACAATTTTGTGTGGCTCTTCCTTAGCCACCCTTCGTAGGGGGCAGGAACTCAACAGTTTTCTCTTTTACAACTGGGCCATGAAATTCCATCACTAGGACTGCACTGCCAGGGCATGTGGTTGCCAAGCTTCAGTGTCTGAGTGCAGGAACAGCCAAGACCTCAGGATGCCTGTCCTGAATTCCTTCATCTAACAGACTCCTACTTATCCCTCAAAACCCACATCAGAATTAAACCGACATTCATCTGTGCTAGATACACACTTCATTTACTCATTCACCAATTATTTGTTGCATGCTTATTATGTGATGGGCTAAACAAGGGCATTTTGATGATTTTTATAGAGTTGCTAAAAATCAGTCATTTTAGCTCAAAGGACGTTTTGACACGAATGTGTTCTGGAGATACACACACATATTGATATATAGATATCTATATCTATCTGTGTATGGATGGAGATCCAAATAATCTATATAATCTATATCTATCGATTGAATTCTGTGCTTATTCATGCCTGCACATCTAGTTTGACAGGAAACAGACGGATCTTCATCATGTTTCCTGGATGCCCGGACAACACTTCCTTACGTATTTTTCTGCCCTCCTCCTCATCTCTCCTTCACTTTTAAATTGATAGCACAAGGAGAGCAAGTGCCCTTTCCCTGCTCATGTGAAGATGGTGCCCTCTGGTGGATGGTGGTAAAGATTACACCTTTCTTTCCAAAACTATTTAGGTGGTTTCTGTTTTTCCTCAAATTTACCTTCAACTGGTTTTACAATCCAAAGTGATCAGGATTACCGTCAGAGTGCTCGTACCCACCGTGGTGTGAGGAATATGAGAAGGCCCTATCCAAACGGTAGGCTCATCCATGCCACCATTAAATCAGGCTCAGTAATAATTCTTTGTGGCTTAGTAGGCCCCTGCTAGTATTTATTATTTTACTTCGAGGATACCTGTTATGAGACATAATAATATCTGGAGGCATTAATTCACAACTAGAGATGAGTCCATCAGTATCTAACAGGACCTCAGAAGTACTCAGAAATGGGACAGACTTGTCAACAAGTGTCTTTGGTAGCTCTTCAATTTTTACCTTTGTAGACAAGTAATATCTTGAAATGCTAATACTTTGGCTCTGTTCTTCCACCCTAGATGCTTTTCCCTGATTTAGAGAAAGATATTGCCTCAAGATGAGGTCAGGTTTTAATAGCAAAAAAGGGTAAATTTTTAGGTTAAAAAAAATCCCAAATATGCTCTTAATATCAAAGAGGGGAAGCCTGAGTGAAGTAGAAGATAGAGTTTTGCCATGTCATTAGAAAAGAATCTACAGGAACAATAGAGTCCACACCACCCCAACCTCAGGACACTAGAGGGGGTTCAGCCAGGCTTGGAGAGAGGGAACTGGCAGGCTGGGCAAGGCCTGAAAAGACCCCCAAGGTTGTGGGGGAGGAACAAGGGGTTGGGACCTAGGGGTGACAACCAGGAATGGGGCAGAACCTACCGGGGAAGCCGTGGAGCCCCGTTGGTCACCAGGACCATGGAGAAGCACAGAATCTGAATTAATGCCTGAGGAATATTTTATCTCCACACCAGGGACCACCGCTCATCTCTAGTGGAGAGCAGCATTGTCACCTGATAGTCCCACTGGGGGAAGTGTAAGCTTTCCGTAAGAGCTGCCTGCTGGTCACACACTGGATGTCCTGCACACGCATGCCATCCTGCATTCTGAGACATTGCTGAGCCCCACCTAAATGATGCTGGGAAGCACCTCCCTGCTTTGCAATAATTCAGAATGATATCGACCCTGATATCAGTTTCCCCACATTAAACCCAGCATATATGGGGTTAAAACCAAAACACTCATTCCCTGCTTACTCTCTGGCTTCCTGGCTCCAGAATCCACTATCCTCCATGGAGACAGACACCGTCAAGGACAAGCACCTGGACTATCTCCTCCCGCAAAGATATACGGGCTGGTGGGAAAGCTGCTGACCAGCAAGGTCACAGGCTTCCTCCTCTCTGCAAGTGTCTCAAGGCCAAAGACAGGCTGGTGGGAAAGCTCCGACCAGCAAGGCCATATGCTCCCCCTCCCCTACCTAAAACTTCAAATAAAAACCCTTCCTTTTAGCTTTTCGGGGAGTTTGGGATTTCAGCGTTAGCTGCCCTCTCTCCTTGCTCAGCACTGTGCAAAAATAAAATTCCTACTTTCTTCCACCACATCCGGTGTCAGAGATTGGCTTGCTGCGCAACGGGTGAGCAAAGTCACTTCAGGTTCGCTAACAAGAATGTTCACAAGCCCCCAAAACCAGAGGGTAGAGGCCCTTCACAACCAGACAACAATTCATGCATGCTACACCTTAACTTTTGAACAAGAAAATTAACAAGGAAGAGTGAGGCCAGAACCGAAGGAAGAGGATGCGTCCAGTTCTCCTAGGAACTAGAAGCCAAAGGGAAACTAGGGGGCTGATGACTCTCTAGAATCCCTGCCAGCCTCTCTCTACCCTAAGCCTCGGTATTTTAAGCATGACCAGGAGTAAGCGAAGTGTGATGGGTTCTCCACATCCTGGGGGCAGCAGGGAGAGGAGCAGAATGGGTGGCAGAAAGACATTCTTTGGCAAGTCCCCAATAAGTTAACTCTATCCTCAGAATTCCTCCCCGCCCCTTGACACCCAGCTATAGCCTTCTGTGACATAGTTGTCTCTAACTACCTTACGCCAGTTTCCTAACCCTTTAGAGTTTTAGACGATCATCTCTAAACCTTCCCGTTAAGATAGTTGTGAGGATTAAAAAGAAAAGTACACAGAATAAACAAGCCATTGGACTTTATTATACGTGAGAACCAGAAAGAAGTGGGTCCAGGTGAGTCTACCACTTGGAAATGGATTGCGGTCTATAGAGAGCGATGGGCTGGTCTATCCAGGTAGAAGAATCCGACAGACTCTACGCTTGGAGAGACAGAAACGGAGAAATTCTGGAAGCAGACGACCCCTTTTGAGTCCTACATTAGGGTGTTGCTCTGTCCTACTAGACCCTGGAGAGAAATTGACTTTAAGGACTGTGGTGATAGGATCACGGTATACGTATGTCCGAACTCATCAAAATGTATATATTAAATATGTGCAATTTTTTGTATTTGATATACTTAATGTGTACCTCAATAATATACTTAATGTATACCTCAATAAAGCTGAAAAAAAAGGATTTGACTTTCTCTTCCATAAATCCTAGAGTAATCAAAAGAAAGACCTCAATAACACTTCCATGAGTTCTATATAGTCAAAATAACAGTTCAGGGGCTGGCCCTGTGGCCAAGTGGTTAAGTTCCCACACTCCACTTCGACAGCCTGGGGTTTCACCGGTTCAGATCCTGGGCACGGACACGGCACCACTCATCAAGCCACGCTGAGGCGGCGTCCCACATAGCACAACCAGGAGGACCTGCAACTAGAATATATGACTATGTACTAGGGGGCTTTGGGGAGAAGAAGAAGGAAAAACAAAAGATTGGCAACAGATGTTAGCTCAAGTGCCAATCTTTAAAATAAATAAATAAAATAACAGTTTGGGTTTACTATGAGTACTGAAGCAATCCAGAAAGACAAAGAATGAGGAGGTGGTTCTTATGATGGGTAAGTTATTACAATGTCCTAAAGAATGTAAATTATTATGCTGTACTAAATGCGACTAGTGTCGCTATTCCACGTGGTGGGTGAGGGACATTTATAAAGACCCAAAGGCAGGATACAGTACATTTATTTCACATTTTCCTGGGAGGGGAGTGAGGAGTAGAGAGAAGGGTGAGAAGATGGGCTTGGCTGGAGCTGAGGCGACTCAGAGGAGGCGGGGAAAAACTTGCGGAGTGGAGAGGGAAGGTCACAGTCACATGCCCCTCATGTTTCATTTGCCTTTCCTCTGTACACTGCTCAGCACATGAGACGGAGCAAAGCCAGAAGGGGAGAGAAGAGGATGCCCACCTCAGCAGAGTCTGCTGCCTCTGGCGGGACCTCTGAAGGAAGGACACCTGGTCCTCCTCTCTGACAACGCCACTTCCCACAACGTCTCATCCAGGTGTCCCAGAATGCGCAGGTGACAGGACCCAGTCTGGGCTCAGCAGGTCCAGACATCAAGAAATGTAACAATACCACCAAAAGGAGAAGCCGTAGATCCAGATCATCAAAATAGCAGTGAAAGCCACATGCCAGCAGAAGAAGGTGGTGACAAACATAATGTCGTTTTTGTCATCGTCCATCCATTTATAGCCAGAGATTGGTTTGAACAGCATAAACCCTATCTGCATCAGCCAAGAGCCTGTCATCAAATAAAAAAAGGCCTTCATCACCCACAGCTGCGGCATATTGGGAGCCCACAGCTCTGCAATCACCACCAGTGACAGCAGGAACATGGCCTGGGTGAGCAGGATGTGAGACTGTAGCTCCACTCCTTCTGAGTCCTGCACATGAGACACCATCAGGGGCACAAATAGAAATATGCCCAGGGCTTGGGCGGCTTGCTCCAGAGCAGCACACCTCTGGGGCAGCAGGTTCTGGCTCACCACATCTACACAGCCACTCAGGAAGAAGGTCATATAGAGAGTGAGGTGCTGCCACTGTTTGCGGTACAAAAAGTTTCTCTGATGATATATCTTGCTGATAAGTACAAACTGTCCATGAACGCTATGCAGCTCTTGGGCTACTAAAATGCCGGCGCTCAATATCTTCACCAACCCAACATAGTATATTTGCCGCAGCCTCACCCATCTTCCTTTGCTCCAGGGACGGCTTGGCGGATGCTGGATAGGGTAGTTGCATATCAAAGCCTTGGAGACGAGTCGTGTGTGATAAAGTCCATAGAAGAAGAGAGACAGCCCTGGGAACAGATGACCCTCGAAGCCCCCCATGGAACTGAAGGTAGGTCTGACCAGAGGCAGAAGCCAGAGGCTCAGGAATGGCCACTTCAGGCTCTAGAGTGTGGAGGGAGCTTCCTGAAGCCCACTTTTATCCTCTAGCCAGCTCACTGCATCCACATACAGAAGGGAAATGGCTCTGGAGGCAAGCCAAACTTATGGTGGGGTGGGTGTCATGGTTTCCGTTCTTCAGCTCTGGTTCGTTGATGCCTAACCAACCATTGCCAAACAATGGAATGAGCACATTCTCCAGCACAATGCCTGGGCATCTGCCATTCTCAGAGACTGTGCTTTACGCCCCCACTTGGCTCTCCTCCCAAGTGTCCTTGATGCCATTGCTATCTTCTTACTTCCCTCTCAAATTCACAGAACACGAGGGGGAACTCAGAGAAAGCATGGAGAAACAGACAATGTAGGGCACATCCCTTAAGAGTCCTCACATACAACGTCAGAGAAACACTAGGCACAAATGCATTCCCCTGGCGTACATAGTCTTATGAGCCACAAATAAACATACACAGTGCCCAATTACTCTGATGTTGTTTGAGGATTGCCAGAAAAATGTTTACTCCCGGGAATCTCTCTCCTGTTGATCTCCAGATGGAAGTGAGATGCCACCATCTAAGATTCCTTCCTTTGGGTCGAAGCAGTGTTTTTTCAACTTAAAATGCAGGTGAATACGTTCTACTCAGAGGTACTGATTTTGAATCTCCTGGGGTGGTGTCTTACAATAAGCATTTCAATAAACATTCCCAGGCAATTCTTACGCACGCTAAGTTTTGAGAATCACTAAGTAAAATGTAGGTACCTGGAAGAAAGAAGATCCTCTTAAACTAGTAACCTTAGTGAGAATTAGCCATCAAATATTTTCCCTCATGAAATAAGCATTTATTTAGAATGTAATTCCCTCATATTATCCTTCTTGACAGTCAATCAAGTATAGGAAATGTCTCAAATTAAATTTGTTCATTTTGAGCCAACAGATTTTCCATTTTGGTTTATTTCTTGGTAAATTGTCTTTTGTTGCTACTATGAACGGACCTTCCACTTCATTTTATAATTTTTACTGATATAAGAAACTGTAATTGTATATTGATCTTCATATTAATCATCTTGTTGCATTTACATACTGTTCTTACTAATTTTCAAATGATTTTATATAATCATATTATTTGCAAATAATGAAAAAATGATCTCCTTTTAGATATACTTCTGACTTTCTAATTGCATTGGCATGGTAGAAATTTACTGTTGTTTCGACTATGAAAGCTCCCCTCTTCTGGGAAGTGCCCCCCCAAACCACTCGGGTTAAATGGGAGCTGTCATCTTCTAATAAATACTACTTTCCTAGTCACAGAACAGTCAAGGGCTGGGTACCTGAGCCAGCTAGGCCAATCTAAGCCCTTCTCCAGAATTTTTTGTTTTTTTTTTAAAGATTTTATTTTTTTCCTTTTTCTCCCCAAAGCCCCCCAGTACATCGCTGTATATTCTTCGTTGTGGGTCCTTCTAGTTGTGGCATGTGGGATGCCACCTCAGCGTGGTCTGATGAGCAGTGCCATGTCCGCACCCAGGCTTCGAACCAATGAAACACTGGGCCGCCTGCAGCGGAGCGCGCGAACTTAACCACTCAGCCAAGGGGCCAGCTCCTCTCCCGAATTTTTTTAACCAAAGAAAACAGCTCTCAGCCCTTTCATAGAGTATATAAATACTGTTCATTGCAGAACCAAGAAGTGTTTTGGGATTATATTTCCTTCTCCATGGATCCAATATTGTATTAGTTATCTGTTGCTACACAACTAATTAACACAAATTTAGTGGCTTAAAACAATATACATTTATTATCTCCATTTCTGGGGGGTCAGGATGCAGGCATGGCTTTCCTGGGTCCTCTGCTCAGAGTCTCACGAGGTACAGTCATGGTGTTAGGCAGGCTGCGTTTCATTCTGGAGCTCATGGTCCTCTTTCAAGCTGACATGGTTGTGGCAGAATTTGTTTCCTTGTGGGTACAGGCCTGAGATCCCCATTTGCTTACTAGATATCACTTCACTCCTACCAGATTGATAAAAATGAGCCTGACAATAGTCTGACAATGGGAAAGAAACAGAATAATTAATACATTGCTGAGGGAATGTAAATTGATACAACCATCTGGAAAAGAATTTGTCATTATATGGCGTTATATAGTAAAGTTGGAGATACACATCCTTCCTTGTATGCACTGTATAGTAACTCTCAGGAATGTCTGTAGCAACACTGTTTTGGTAGCGAGAAAGAGGAATGTTCAAAATGTCCTTCATTAATTAAATTTTTAAATTATTTTTAAATTTTTAAATTAATTAAATTATTAAATGTCTAGATAAATTTGTAAAATTCTCATAAAATGAAATACTATAGAGAAGCAAAAATGAAAATTACAGCTACATTCAACAACATCGTGATGGTTAATTTTATGTGTCAACTTGACTGGGCCACAGGGGACCCAGATTAAACATTATTTCTGGGCGCAACTGTGAGATTAGCATTTGAATCAGAGGATTTAGCAAAGCAGATGTCCCGCCCCAGTGTGGGTGGGCCTCATCTAATCTGTTGAAGGCCTGACTAGAACAAAAGGCAAAGGAAGGAGGACTTTGCCTCTCTCCTTCCTGCCTGTCTCCTGAGCTGGGACATAAGCCTCCTGCCCTCACGCTGGGATTTGCACCTTTGGCTCCCTGGTTCTTAGGTCTTTAGACTCAGACTGAAATTACACCAGCAACTCTCCTGAGTCTCCAGCTTGGAGAGAGCAGATGGGACCTCTCTGCCTCCATGATCGCATGAGCCATTTCCTCATAATAAATCTCCTTTGTATATCTCTCCTATTGCTTCTGTTTCTCCGGAGAACCTTGTCTAATACAAAACATGGAATCTCAAAAATATAATTTGGGGTAAAAAAAGAATATCACAAAATAATGCATACCATGTGATTCTATAAAGTTCAAGAACACACAAAAGTAAACAATGTAAGCACATGTAGAACTATAAACAAAATTCAGGAAAATGATTACCTCTGAGAGGGGAAGGATAGGATGGACTAGAGAGGGATACATAAGACATGGGAAATAATGACAGTGTTTTTCTGCTCTTACAGTTGGTGGTGGGCAGAGTGTTCATTGTATCCTAACTCTGTATAGTTTACGTGCATTCTGTCAATGTTATTGTGCATCTACTCACTATTAAAATGTTTTTAAAGAGATAAGAAGACTAAGTAGAAGTGTGGGTGTGTGAGACTTGACGTCTAACAAGTCTGCTTCAGGGTGAGAAGGTGGGAGGCCAGCTGTCCACAATGGGGCTCTCCCAAATGCCAAAATGAGTTTTTCGCTAGCACATCAACGCTTCAATGTATGATGCCATAACTGGCTTTTTTTCTCTCAGTCAGAGAACGCGTTGGAGACAGAACCATTTTGTTACATAGAGGTGCTGCTCATGCCTTTGAATGTCACATTCTTTATCCAGTTCCTTATTGATGGACGTGTTGGTCTATCTAATTTTTAACAAACAATGTTGAAATATCCTTCTTTAGAGTAGCTAACTATAAATGACATTTCTGAGTCATAGACTATTCCCTTTTCTAATTTTAATAGCTAATGATAAATCTCCCTTCAAAGTGGTGGTATCAGTTTTCACTCAACCCCACAGCCTATTCATCAACAGGTTCTCTGGATTTTCCTTCCGGAGTAACTTTTATGGTCAGGTCCTTCCGCTCCATCCCCACCCACTGCCCTTGTCCAGGCATCACCGACTCTGCCTTGTTGCTACGTTGCTTAATCAGGTTCCAATCCGCATACATTCCTATCCACGTTGCAACCAGAGTGAGCTTTTGGGAATAGAGAGCTCATTATGCCACCGGCTAATTTAAATTCTCCAGTGGCATCCCATTGCTTTGTGGATAAAATCCATGCCCTTCTAATAAGCTTCAAGGCCCCTTGTTCTTTGGCCTGGCCTCATTTTCAGTCCCTTCCTGGGTGTGTCATTGTCTCTAGGCACATCAGAAGCTTCCAGTTCATTCTGGAATGGTCTTCCTATTCCACATTCTTTATCTGGGAAATTCCTCCTTTCTCCTTCAAGGCTCAGCTCAACCACTGCCTCCTCCCAACTAGTAAGGATATCTCTTTATGCAACTTGTACATGTTTCTACCGTTACACTTGTCACCCAGTTTCACCACTCTTTAATTACCAGGAAGTTTTTGAAGTCAGAGACCATGTCCTGTCTTGTCTCTTTAGAATCTAGCGCCATACCTGGAGGTGCTCAGTGAATATTTGATAGACGAGTGAATAAATGAATGAACTATCAAACGAACACATGGTCTCCAACATAAAATGCTTTATAATCTAGCTATAAAGACAGAACAGATACATGCAAATGACACAAGGTCACTAACGCTAAGAGCCAAATGCCAAATGAGTGGAACAAATGACCAGAGCTATGCAATGAGAGGAGAGAGCTCACCCGGGCTGTGAAGACAGAGCAAACTATCATCCCCAACGAACAGCTGGAGAAACTAATACAGGCGAGCTCAATATCTTTGATTCCTTCGTCCTTGGACACAGGAGAGGCCGAATGAAAGGGTCTGGATGACTTGGCATAATTATACCTTCTCAGCCAGAGATACCAACCCCTTTGCATAAACCAGTGTTTCTCAACCCTTTAGTCATTTTTATCCTCCCTAAGGAAGATTTTCAACACGTGTTCCCTTATCACCTTCGTCCCATGAAAATTTAATACTGTAGATATACTGTATATCTGTTTTATGTCCTGTGGCCCTTTGGAGGGCCACAAACCATTGTAGAATCTAAAATCATAACTTTTCACCCTGTTGGGGGCAATATTGCCCCCACTGAGAGTACATGGTATAAACCAAGGGCAGAGTGTTATCCCAGCAAAGGGCGTGGGGATGCAGCACCGAGCTCATCTTCAGAGGTCTGCCTTTCAGCAACAGGCAGTGAGGGTTCATTAGTGAGGGGTAGACTAGATGGCTGAAAGATGCTACCAAATTCTGCACTTGTGGCCATCAGACCCCAGAGATGTCATAGGGGAAAGTCCTGGTATTTAATTAGGAAACTAATTAAATTAATTTGGAAACTCATGTTCCTTAGAGGGACTTGAGTGAAAACTCTCCTCTTACTCCTCTCCAGCTAATAACAACTGTATGAGAGAAGGAAGTGTCACCTAAAAGGATGAAACGAAAAGACGTATCTCTGGTTTGGAGGCTCGTAGCCAAAAATAGACAGAATGTAAATCAGAAGACTGCTTGCCTAAATCTGGCAGAAAAAAGGAGCTCTCCCTGTTGAGCCAGACGCACCACTGTTGGGGCAACCACCTAGGATGGGGAAGGAACAGATGCCAGACTCACTAACTGATGTTCCATGACCCACAAGCAAAGCATCCACCTGAGACAACCCTCCTGGTACTACCGTGGCCACTCTCTGGCTTATCCATGAGGACAGGATCTGATGGACACTGGTCCCAACAGTAAGGTACACACCTTGCTATGCATCAGAATCATCTCGGGAGAGCTTTTGAAAATAACAGAGTACTAAGTTTTCACCCTGACCCTACTGAATGAGGTCTCTGGGTTGGGGCCTAGGAATCTACATTTCGAACCATACCCCCTCTCTCCACTGGCAGTGCAGGCCATCCTTCACCTGATGCTTGGAAACCACTGCACTAGACTAGAAAACACCACCCTGGTTATTAGCCACACCTAGACACCGTCTTCCTGCCCTCACCAACCCACAGATCCACCCAGGAGTGTGGGGCAACATCTTCACAAAAGCAGAACCCAGTGACGTTTCCCAAGAGGGGCTGGCATGCGGGAGGAGGAGAGGGTGGGAGGGAAGTAAAAATCCTCCTTGTCAGGGCCCCAGGAGACATTATCAGTTAGCGATTAAGAAAACCAGGAGTCTGCTCTGTCTTTGAGATCTAGTATGGCCATTTGCTAGGTGGATGTTTCAAGACAAAGTATTTATCTTCTCTAAGACTCCTTCTCCTCATAGGTGAGTGTGG